GGGGTGGGAAATTTTCCTGCAGACTTTTTTTGGGATTTTCCCAGGGTGTCTGGTCCACGGGATTTAAAATTATGAGTTTGGTGGTTTCTGAGGTCCAAAAGGTTGGCAACTCCTGTCATAGAGGATTGTATTATGGAAATAGGGATACTCTATTGTTTTGTTTAAAATCTTGCGAGATTATGCTTTTGTTGTTGTTTCTTTATTCACACAGGAAAACTAGGGGTGTTCATAGGCTAGATTTAAAAGAAAAACACAGCTATTTCTGTGCAAAATTCTATGTCGGGGAAGCCAGATTCACTTAACAATTGCAGTGATTTTCTTAACCACAAGACACGTCATCAAATGGGGGCAAAATTCACTTCACAAGCATCTTGCTTAAGAGGAGAAATTTTGGGGTCAATTGTAGGTTGAGAACTACCTGCATACATGGGTTCTGCTAAACCAGCCATAAAGGCAGTGAAAGAACACAAACGTACAGTAACACTGCCTCCTATTTCCCACCGCAAATAATTTGCAAGGTGCTGGAATTAATATGCCTGAATGCAAGCTAATTGGAGGGAGGCGACAAGACAAAAGGTGTATTTTAGCAAAATGGCTTTTTAGAACCATTAAATAAAATTCCACCGTAATAAACCGTCGTGTAGCAAGGTAATATTTAATAAACAGCGTGGTTTACAAGCAATCGGGGAATTGGGAATGCCACAGAACGGGGATTGTGACTAATTGCATGTCGGGCTAACTGGGCAGGAAAAATAAGTGGTCTTTTAAAAGGCTTTTATTTTCTTTGTGGAGGGGTGGGGGGAAATTAGAATTTAAATATTTGGTTTCATTTGGGACCACCATTGTTCAAATAAACCGGGTGTATTTTGCAGTTTTCATCTGCCTCCCTCTTCAAAAGTAGAGTGGTTTTTTTTCCCCCAGCCCAAAAGAATAGATGAAATTATTTTCTGAAAAAGGGAGCAACAATTTTCGGTTGCACTCAACTTATGATGGTTATTAAATATTAAATTTAGTAGCCAGAACAGTAAAAGGTTCAATGGGCCAGAACACACAGATGTCGTCGATGAGTTAGAAAGGGCTGAGTCATGCATGAGGCAATCTGTGCTGTGATTGGTCGCCGTGAGCATAAAGGGAGCGTTTTCCTTTTTTCCCGCCTTTTTTTCTTCTCTCTGTTCTGTACACTCTTCAATTTACCTCATGACATTTCTCTGTTCCTGACATATCTTGTCTGCTATAGATATAGACATTAAATATATTTATTTGTATAAAACTACAAGTTCGGGTCAATGTCTCTGACTTCATTAGGACACTTGCCGCACAATTCCGTGGAAATGGCGAGTTGCTTATTGATCGTTAGAAGTTACAATGGATCCCGATTGGTTTGAAGTTCTGGTGCCTTTCCCCCACATTGTGGTCACATGACCATATCTTGGTCACTTGGCAACGAACCTTCGTTTAAGGCAGTTTGCAGTGTATAAAGTTAGCACCCACCCCTCTTAGAAGAATGAAATATTTTAGGAAATATTAAAAAGGCAGAATATTATAGTTTCTCCCTAAAGGAGAAACATGCTCTTGGAAAGCAGCCCCCACTTTTCTTAATAAGCCCTAGCAGGACTGGCCCAGCCTATCTACAAGACAAAAACCAAAGCTCCAGGGTGATGGGATTAAGACATGACCCCTCAGGACATAATAGGATTATCCCTCTACCCATCTATTAGCAGGTCTCACTGCACTGTGAAATCACCTGGGGACATTACATCAGCCCAAGGGTCCACAAAACCTGATTCATACACACATGATTCTTCACATGGCCCAAATCTGACTATAGCCAACAGATACATGCTCTTGCCACAGGAACAGGAAGCTCATGTTTGTTAAGTGAATCTGAATTCCCCATTGACTCTGCTTGTCAGAAGGTCGCAAAAGAAGACCATGTGGCCTCCCAGGACACTGTGACCGTCATAAATACAAATCAGTTGCCAAGCGCCTGGATTTTGATCACATGACCGTGGGGATGCTATAATGGTCATAAGTCACTTTTTCCAATGCCAGTCACTAAGTGAACTGTTGTAAGTCAAGGACTACCTGTACACCAGCTAGGTAAGCAAGTGATGGCATCCTTTGGACCTAACGAGACCCCAAAAATGATGTTCCCATCACATATTACAGGTTGCCCTTGACTTACAACCATTAAGTTAGTGACTGTTTGAAGTTAT